CTGTCTGCTTGGCAGGGTCGTCACGTTCTCGATCTGGTTCTAGGTGCGCTGTCTGCTTGGCAGGGTCGTCACGTTCTCGGTCTGGTTCTAGGTGCTCTTTCTGCTTGGCAGGGTCGTCATGTTCTCGGTCTGGTTCTAGGTGCTCTGTGTGCTTTGCAGGGTCGTCATGTTCTCGGTCTGGTTCTAGGTGTGCTGTCTGCTTGGCAGGGTCGTCATGTTCTCGGTCTGGTTCTAGGTGCGCTGTCTGCTTGGCAGGGTCGTCATGTTCTTCTTTTTGCAAAATCATTGTGTGTACTTTATTGAGCAGCTCCACAACCTGACTTCGATTGCCATGATCGTTGTTATTAAAAACATGATACCTTCTGCCATATCTCTCCACCACTTCCTGGAGGTCTGCTCCGGACTCCTGAATGAAGTCCTCAATGGTCATCCCTTGCAGTTTGTCACCCATCGTGAAGAGGATAATGCATTTCTCTCTGACTTGCTCCCCACAAAGTTTCTCAATCATCTCCACTGTTCTTTTCTGCTCCTCTGTGAATCGTCCCAGCTCAATTATAATTAACAAGGCACACGATCCTTGTCCAAGTATGTCTTTGACTTTTACAGTTTCAGTCTCGATTGCTTCTTGAAAGAGTTTAGTGTCAAATAAGCCTGGGGTGTCCAGAACAGTCACTTGTCTCCCTTCAATTTCAGTCTTTCCCACCTGACATTCCTTTGTTATAGATCGGGCACTGAATTCTGCCTTGAACTCTTTCCTGCCCAGGATGGTGTTTCCTGAAGAGCTCTTTCCTGCTCCAGTCTTCCCCAGGAGAACAAGATTTACGTTTGGGCATTGCTTGGTTTCTTCATTATTGGCTGATGTACTCGTGAACGCACCTTTTTTAATAAAAGTGTTCAGTTAAATGGGTCATGGTATTACTTTGAAACCAATAATTACCATTGTGATAAAATAACTCAAAACAAAACTTAAGAACTTGAGGACAAGGCCATTCCTGCTCAGGACTAGAAACTACCAGTTGACGATTAGGACATTACACCTGCAGTATACGTATACAATCACACAACAACATTTTTTTTCTTCTTAAATATAAAAAACTTGTACCAAGTCGTTATATGAATGGACATTTGCAATGCTTATTCTTTAATTATCATAACAGCAATAATAATACACTGTGTTCCTCAGTAATGAGAGGTTAAACAGAATTACAACAAGCGCAGTGTTATCAAGATCACTTTTGATTTCTCATAAAATAAGTTGCCAATCGTGAAAGGATGGTTTGATTTACTTATTTGGGTTTTAAGTGAGCTAAAATGTCATAGTTTTAAATGTTTTAATTCATAAACCCACGAGAAAGTAGTGTTCATCGGGTAAACACTACAGACCAGTCATGACGACTGAACGTCTGATAAGTTTCGCAGTGTACCGGCGTGGTGTACAGGACATTACTTCCATATCTTCGTCTTTTGTGTTTTCATCACAATATTATATAAAAAAAACGTCTTTCAGTGGCATGTTAAGATTCTCATAAAGAATAAAACATAGTAACGAGAACAATGAAATCTTACCCATTTTAGCAACTTCTCCTTTTGACTTTCGTTCTCGTTCGAATAGTCCACCTCACTTTCGCTAGAAAATTGCAAGTGTATTTTTTAAAAACGACTCCTTCGTGTAATGTATGTATATCTTAAGAGTCCATGCATTTTTAATGGGACAAAAACCAGGTTTCCGAAAGGGACTAAGCCCAAAACTGTACTGACACGCACGTAAACAAGCGCATTTCCCGGTTGGGCTTGTTTTCCACGCCTGTCCCAAAGACAAGTAGTTTTAATTTTTGAATTTGAAATCGAAAGCATGAGTACTTAACTTCAGATACAAAGCAAACCTGAACAGGTGCGGCAAAACAGGTAGAACCCAGGGTCCAAACAGCAGAGCACTATGACTTCAGGTGAGATAAGAAGTAAATTGTCAATCGTAAAAATAGACCCAGCATTTTAGAAAAACACTTATTAAACATATGATTAAATGTCAATAATTCTCATGCAACCGATATAATGATTGATTTAATATTCCTAAACGTGAATAAATTTAAAAGGTCTTAAAATACATTCCACAAATAATTATGACTTTTGCTTAATAAAGTTGGAACAGGATTTTCTTACGCTAACTTTTGCTAACAAACTACACAAATATTGCATTATTAACCTTTTTTGTAACAATACTCTCGTTGCAATCTACTCCACTTTATTCGTAAACCTGCCCATGCTTTCGATTTCAAATTCATGGGTAGTTCAAGCATAATTCAAGCATGGGCAGGTTCCAACTTTATTAAGTCTATTTTTACGATTGACAATTTACAGCACCTCAGATACAAAGCAAAACTGAACAGGTGCAGTAAACAGGCAAAACAGGCAAAACCGGGTCCAAAGACTTAAGATAAGAAACACACAAAAGCACAACAAAGGCGTTGTTTTCATGATTGCCTGCGGAATACCTTATCGGAACTATGAGAATGATTCTTGATTACATTTGGTGCATTTAACTAGAAAAAAAGACACCGTACTGTATGTTTTTGTGTGATATAAACGTGATATGATGATCATGTGCTGTAATAACAGCACGATGTACAGTGCGTTCCTACAGTATACTCCTAATTATCATTTATGTTTTGGCTATATAAGTATTATTAACTCTGTTAAACGAAAATACATAACCAGACAGAATTGTTTACTATCATACATTTAATAAGTAACATAGTAAGTGACAATAAGTGACATAGTAAGCATCATAAGAACAGAAAAAAATATGTATATGACATTCATTTTAAAACAAAATCATAATGCACAGAAGTAGGTTATTCTGTCGTTTTTTTTTGGTTTCCATACTGTTAATTTAGTATTAAAATAGTTACAGAGATTTCTTACAGAAGGTGAAACATAACCATAACTGCCCACATACAGTAAATACAAAATAAGATCATGTTAGCATTAGATTACAGTTGCATTTTCATTGTGAAGAACCCATCAATATCCACAAGAAAAGTCAGATCTAAAATGCATCAAAGAATTAACACAGGAGACAAATAAAAGACAACATGCAAACTCCCCACAGAAGGTAATACATTGCAATGTCAAAGCCAGGATTCTGGGACTGTTGGCCTTCAGGGTGTCCCTCACAACATTGTTTATTACTTACATTGACAGATGATGCACAGAAAGCTACATTTTGAGGCTGCTAAAAGACTGGAGTACGTGTGACTGAAACACTGGAAAAGCGCTGTTTCTATGTGATGAAGACAATCAGAGATAGGAGACAATAGGTGAGGGCTGCAGAACTGAGGTCCAGATAGACTTGTTGCTTCACTGCAAATCACTCACTGCTCAAAGATTGGGAACACTTTGACATTTTTGATAAATGAAACGATTTGTTCGTTTAAGGTAATGCTGGTTCTTGAAGGTAGATTTTTATCTCAGCTAATGTATAAATTACTTATCGAACCAAATTTAATTGATCAGGGTTAAATTGTTTCAGAGCTTTAGAAACTGCTGGTTTAGTACTGACCTATGAAATCAGTGAGACTGGTTATCTCAGGGTATTTCAATTAGATTGCAGCAGTTTTCATTACAAGGTCTCATCCAGTTTGAAACTAATCAGATTCCCCACAAAAACTGCGAGCTTGCCAGCTATCAACTAGATGATCTCATATTAGTGAGTAAGCCTTCAAGCTGTGATTAAAACCGACATCTCCTTTCCTCTGCCAACATTGTAATGTTTGTTGGATCTACTTTAACTGGGGTTCAATAACTTCAATACCTAAACCAGGTGGGGCTGCACACTGGTGGTGGTGGAGGGGATCCCCATTACCTGTAAAGCGCTTTGAGTGGAGTGTCCAGAAAAGTGCTATATAAGTGTAAGCAATTATTGTTGTTAAAGTTTAAGCCTGCTGAACATAAGCGATGCCATCCTGTAGCAACTGAAAATAACCCTTTGGTGCAAAAGTGTTTTAATTTTACATTAGTGAGAGGAACAGCTCACGACGTCAGAGTAAGGTGTGTGACTTTTTCAAGGAAACACAAGTTTTCTGCTTCCTGCCTGGCATTTTGCAGCTTATCAGTATAGTAACGCCTGAATTCCTTCAGTTCCCTTTCCTTTCTCTCCTCCATCTTCCTCTGACGTTCTGCAATCTCCTGCTCCTTCACCTTTTCCTGCAGCACTTGAATTTCCTCCCTGAGCTTTGCAATTTCCCTGCTGTACTTCCCAATCAGCTCTTCTTCCTTCTCTCGCATCTTCTGCTGATAAAACTTCCTCAGCTCGTCTTCCTTCTCACAGATGCCCTTCTCCATCTGCTGGTAGTCATCGTTGGTGTAGAAGGTGCCCTTGTTCGCCTCCACCATCGCGTCTATCTTATCCAGGAGCTCCAGGACCTGTGTCCGCTCGCTTGCTTTGGAGTTGTCGAAAACGTGGTACCGGTTCCCACACCTGCTCACAAGCTGCTGGAGGTTCTCCTCCGCGTCGTCCAGATACTCTTTGATCCCGCCTGTCAGGTTGCCTCCGTGGGTGAAGAGGATCATGGTGAATTTCTCCGCTTCCTTGCCGAATATCTCCTGGATCTTTTCCACGGCTCTGACCTCCTCCTCGGTAAACCGGCCCGGCCTCAGGACCATCACGATGGCGTGCGGCCCAGGCGCTGACAGGTTAATGCACTTCCAGATCTCACGCCTGATGTCGTCCGCCGGTGTGCTCGTGTCGAACAAGCCCGGCGTGTCCACCAAGGTGACGGCTCGCTCGGCTAGCAGTGCCGTCTTCCTGCTGCACTCCTTTGTCGTGGAGGCCCCGCTGAAGGCCACCCTGAATTCCTCCCTGCCGAGGATGGTGTTGGCTGACGAGCTGCGACCCGAGCCAGTTTTCCCCACCAAGACAATCCTGGTCTCGTGCACTGTAGAAGAAAGAGGGTCATTCCTTATCGGGGAGCTTATACTTTATGAGCAGCGTGTTGTGGAAACAGCTGAATTCTGCTGCAACAATGAGAAGAGTTTGATATCAAAGACAGATTTGTTCTCAGAGAATACTGGAATGAGTTTATTGTACGCTGTGTTTGCCAAATGATACCTGAAATGATACCTGAAAAGGAAATCCGTTGTTCACCCTTCCAAGTGTTAAAAAGACACAATGTACTTCTACCAAGCAGGTGTTAGAACGCGGCTGCTTGGGCTGACACCCGCATCTAAAAACAGACAGGCAACCCAACTGCACATGCTCGGCGATTTCCGGAAACTGCCGGAGGGTGCCGAGAAGAGAGGGGAAGAAAAGGCGGAGAGACAACGTTCTGAAGAAGCAGGCAGACAGGGCTTGTTATACAGGCAGGGAAAGGGCTTGTTATACAGGCAGGGAAATGAGCCACGGGGACGTTTCAGGCAGAGCAGGGCCTGGGCTGATTCAGGGTTAGAAGTCAGAAACAGTGTTTTTGTTCCTCTAAGTTTCGTGCGGAAGAACGAGAGACGCGATGGCAGTAAGACGTTCATTCCCGCCTGGATACTGTGAGATCCCAGTCGCTGCCTATCTGGGCGTGACAGCAGGGTTTCAAATACTGTACCCGAGTATTCCTATGGTAAATATTTGGCAAGTAATTTTTAAACGACTTACACATTGGGGGAAGTTCCTTGCTGTCTCTCCTCTTGGGCTCTTTTCCTTTAAGAAACAAAATGTATTTTGACGATTACCCATTTGTCACATGAACATAAAATCCAATCATACCTATACTTATTTATTTAAATAGAAATTAAAGCTTAAAGCATTTCAAAAAGCAGAATGAAATTGATCTTGAAATACACATTCTGTATACACTACAGATATAAATAATAGTTTAGAGAGTTGCGAGAGACTTAAAAACTGTTTAAGACTAAAACTGTATTTTAGCGATACACCTGACTTTCTTTCATGTGGTGTCTGACGCACTTGCAGGCCCCGTAAATTCACATGCGAAGAGAAAGCGAAAGTTGACTGCAGCTATTAACAAAACACTTCTTTCAGTACAGAGTTCACACTCATGTATGGAGGAGTATTAACTCACCTTTATCTCCAGATGCCATTCTGTAGTATTTTTGCGAGTTTGGTTGTTTGATATTTCCCTGTTCTTTCCAATGACTCCAAGTTCCTTTAAGCTGATTTTCTTTTCTCTAGGTGCCAGCACCAGGTATGGCCTCTCCAACACCGCTTGTGAACACTTCAGACACCACACCTCCTAGCGATCAGGTAACACAATTAACTCTTTAACGCCTGTCAGGAATAAGGGTTTCCACCAGTTGAAAAAATCTGTGAACTACGAATCTGGGCTTCTGGCATGGCAGGACTGCGGAGCTGATTGCAAACGTTTTGTTGTACATAAAATGTTTGGATTTATTTTTCTATCAAAATAGGAAGGGCCAGAATTGTGGCCAGGTAACACCAGGATGATCAGAACGAGCTTGGCCACTTGAAGAACACTTCACTCTGCCGATTTCCTCTAATTACTGGTGAGCTACTACAGCATGGTATTACAGAAATGTATGTATGTTGTTGGCCGCCTGTCAGTATTGGCAAGGGCTGTTTCTTTGCCTACTGCTCTAGGGACAGACTGTAAATCTAGTCCAGTGGAAGATAGTGAAGTCGGCAGCACTGTGTTTAATCAGAATGTGTAGCTGGGGACATCAGATTTCCTGCCGCTGCTTCGTCTTGACATGTCGAAGGACAGCCATTTCTGGTCTCCAGCTTTCTTCAATACTGTCACTGTCCACAAAACAGATGTTGTTCTGTAGCCTGAAGTTCTGAACCCAGACTCCAAACATGGGGTCTTATAACTGATTCGTTCAATTATGATTTAATAGAATTTGTATTTGGAAAGCATTTAACATTATTCGTATTTTGTATTTCATATTCTTGTTTCAAACTGGTTTGAGTGATTATTAGTTCAATCAAAATGTATTGGCATGACACTTATTTGTCCCTGCCACATACTGTTTTAAATATAAAATATTTCTCAACTCATTATAGCAGAAAAATGTTCATCCCTAATATTAAACTATTAAGAGACAGTTTGAAGGTCATAAAACTACAAGTCCCAGAATTTCCTGGGAAGCTGGAGAAGCAGTTGAAGGGATCCACTGCACTGGTAACATAACTAAACAGAGCAACTGTCGATCGAATACAATACAGATTCTGACATGAAACATGGTTTTCAAAAACGTACGTCATATTGAGCCGTGTTACACGCTAATGTTTCAGTTAATGTCAAGAGTAGCTTTGAAAGGATTTACGCTCAACTCTGCAACTCTGAAACTGCAACTCTGCATTCTGCATTCCACCTAATATTCTGTGTTTTCTTTATTATGATGTGATTCGGTCTAGCCGGCCCGCTCTGTGTGTGTTATTATCACACCACTGAAACTTTATCTACAGTATATTCACTTAACAAACAGCTGCCTCACTGCGGCACAAGAGACATCCGGAAACCTGACTTTAAGGAAGGTCAAACGCTTGTTGAAAAATTTTTAAAAAAGCGAAGACAATCCCTTCTGCCTTCTGTGCGCTTTTGAAGCCGGTGAGAGACGGATGATGGCCGATACTGTAGCACATCTCATAATCGAGGCTCTGGAGGATCTCGGGGAACAAGAGTTCCGAAAATTTAAACTAATACTGACGAACCGTCCGGACGAACCGAAGGTCCCGTGGGGTGAGATCGAGAACAGCGATGTTCCTCACCTGACCGGAGAAATCCTCAAGACCTATATGAGCAGCAGGCCTGGCGCTGTAGTTGTCCAGGTCTTATGGGGCATCAGGGCAAATGAAGGAGCTAAACAACTAGAAGACAAGATGAACCGACGTAAGTACACGGACAACTTACATTCATTAGAAAATAATAATAAAAAAACTTTCACTTTCGTTTTCCTGGAATCTCACACTGGGGTACAGGGGGTTAGAGAGGTCTCACACTGGGGTACAGGGGGTTAGACCACAGCTCTCCTGTACAGCACTGTGTGCCCACAGCAGCTCACATGGCAGGAGGGTAAGACTGTGAGTGTATGGTGGGATTAGCTGAGCTGATTAACTATCACTGATTCCAGGTGTGAAGTCTATGGAATTAATAGATTGCTGGTAACGTCAAGATAACGTCAAGAAAAGAAGCTTCTTCTGTGCTTCTGTACATTGCATTTAGCATGATGCTTGTTGAGATGCATTTTTACATGGGAGTCTCCCTTTTTTAATAAACCCAGTTCCAGCTCCTCATCAGTTGCTCACAGGTCTGTGGCTCGGTTCTCTCCATCATTAGCAGCTCTCTCTGTCCATAAGCTCTTCCTCTTTAGATGTCATCCAATACTGTCACCCTTTTCCTTCCTCTCGATTCCCGCTTTCATTAGACTGTCCCCTCTCAACATCTGTCCTGTCCAGGACAGGAACAGGAGAGTTCTATTACTGTTTACTCTGTTTCTAAACAAGGGACAGTGAAATGTGTATATTGTCACAGTTGTAACATGTCTGAACTAAGCAATAAACAACATTGCTTCATTCAGTATTTTTTAAAGATACACCGAATTGTGGATCCTTTCTCACAGCAAAGGGTATCTGTATTTGTTTTTCTCATTTTTCCAAATATCAATAAGATTTCATGTCCCCAGTGGTCAGCATTGCTGCCTCGCAGCGCTGGGCCCTGGGCTCAATTCCTGGGTGCTGTCTGTGTGGAGTCTGCATGTCACCCTTATATCACATGGGTTTCTTTCAGGTGCTCTGGTTTCCTCCCACAGCCCAAAGACATGCTGGTGTGTTAATTACTAAACTTTGAGAGAAAACTGGCCCTGGTGTGAGTGTGAGCCTGTATGTGTCCTGTGATGGACATGCATGCTGTCCAGGCTGTACGCTGTCTTGCGCCCTTGATGGCTAATTGTCTTCTAGGAAAACCAGCCCCAGTGTGTGTGCGTGTGTGCGTGCGTGCTATCTCCAATGGACTGGTGTCCTGTCCCAGGTGTATCCTGCCCTGCGCCTGTTGCTTGATGGGACAGGATCTGGCTCTCCTGCGACCCCGACTTGTATAAAGGGGTTAGAAAATGGATGGATGGTTCTTGT